ACTTAATGAAACTGCAATTTTTCCTAAATCTGCAACTTCAACTTGTTTAAGAGTATTTTGCGATTAGACTGTAGTCTAAAAAATGTCGCTTTAAAAATGTTGAAGACGCAATAGGGTTTTTATTTATTTTTATCAAATTTTTTAAAATTATTAATGTTAAAGGACTTTAAGAAGACATTTGTACTAGAGATAAATATTGTGCTGTTTCTTCATCAAACAACGATGAACAACTGAACTTTCTTTTAAATTTGGCTGATACGGTCAAAAAAAAGGGTCCTGAAAAACAAGGTCATAGACTAAAAGACCATTTCAGTACCATTGAGCATACCTCAAACAATGTTGTGTTTCAGTATTGAAGAGAATAGAATTTTAGCTATTAATAAGATTATAGATATTGGAGGTAACAGAAATAAAAAATTTTAAAATCAGTATTATCAAAATTTTATTGAAATCATCAAGAATCATCTTAACTTTTTTATTCAAATCAAATTTTAAAACTTTCTACAGAAAATTTTTAGTAACCAGTATAAAAGTAAAAGTTTTTTTTAATTTTTCCAAAATTGACACGCCTTCAAAATGATTGCTGCATAAATAAAAGTTTTTGTTTGGTAAACAAAAATTCAAAATTTTTATTTGGAACTTTTTGGATTAAATATTTAACAGCAAAAAAGTATATTTATGTTTGAATGTTTCAAAATGTTTTAAATGAAAAAAGTTTAAAATGTTTTACCCAATAATCCAAAATAAAACCCAAGTTCTATAGTATATCTTTTCAACCTTTCACACTATAGTGTATCATGTTTTTTTCAACCTTCAACACTATAGTGTATCTTGTTTCTTTTCAACCTTCCACACTATAGTGTTTCTTGTTTTTTTCAACCTTTAAGCCTATAGCGTACCTTGTTTATTTTCAACCTTTCACACTATAGTATATCATTTTTTTTTTCAACCTTTAACACTATATTGTATCTTGTTTCTTTTCACTCTCCATCACTATAGTGTATCTTGGTTCTTATCAACCTTCAACACTATAGTGTATCTTGTTTCTTTTCAACCTTCCACACTATAGTGTATCTTGTTTCTTTTCAACCTTCAACACTATAGTGTATCTTGTTTCTTTTCAACCTTCCACACTATAGTGTATCTTGTTTCTTTTCAACCTTTAGGCCAATAGCGTACCTTGTTTTTTTCAGCCTTCAAGCCTATAGTGAATCTTGTTTCGTTTCAACCTTCAATAAGAACGCAACCATTATTGTCATCTTTAAGTTTGAAAAAGTTTTGACTCTTATTTCTTTTCAACCTTCAACTCTATACTGTACTATACTGGCCCTACTATACTTGTGCTATACTGTATCTTGTTTCTTTTCAACCTTTAAGCCTATAGTGTACCTTGTTTTTTTTTCAACCTTCAATAAGAACGCAACCATTATTGTCATTTTTAAGTTTTGAAAAGTTTTCACTCCTTTTTTGTATGCAAAATATTGCAAACAAATTTTATTAGATAAACAAAGAAAAATGAACATTTTATTAACATTTCATTAATATTGCACCAAGTATTATGGAGGTTAAATATATCAAATAAGCTTTTGATTTATTTTGCCATTGTCACAAGAAAAACCAACAACAGAATCACCACAATTAATTTATTATTTTTAAAAAAAATGTTTTTACCAAACAAAGAGCAAACCATTAAATCTAAACTGTTTTGCTAATTCATTTAGGGAGTTAAAAGATTTACCAAAAGATATATTTTAATTTTTTAATTATGGTTTAACATAAAATTTATTAATTAATAAAATAATATATTTTTGATAAATTAAGCATTTGTCAAAATACAGCACCAAAAAATCATCGTCTCCAACATGCTTTTTATGTTAATTTTGTCATCAGTGTCATCATACTTGTTATCATCAGTGTCATCATACTTGCTATCATCAGTGTCATCATACTTGTTATCATCAGTGTCATCATACTTGTTATCATCAGTGTTATCATACTTGTTAGTTCATCACACAATCAAGAGTTAAGTGCTCTTGACAATGAAAAGTACTCAAACGCCATAACAGCCATATCAGTAGAACACTTTTTTTTATTAATAAACACTAAGGAGCTCATACTCAACATCTGTTTAATAATATAACTTATAAATAATAAATAATAAGTAATAAACTATAGAAAATATAGAAAAAAAGCAAAAGTTTTAGATTTAGATTTTTATTTCATTACACATATCTTTGAAAAATAAAATATTGCCTGCTTTTTTTCGATACTAACAATACTTTTAAAGGAAGGCAATGACTTACTTGTAGGTTTAAATGGCTGTTGTAAAGTCAGAATTTATTTTAGTGGTGGTTGTGGAGTTAGAATTCATCTTAGTGGTTGTTGTGGAGTTAAAGTTCATCTTTAACTCCACAACTGGCTGCGGAGTTAGAACTTAACTTATACCAGAATTAATTTATACCAGAAAATATATAACATATATATGTTGAATATAATTAAAAGTCATCACATGAAATTGAAAGTTCCCATACTCTTTTTTTGTTATGTGCCATTGTAAAAAAAAACTTTATACTTCCTGTTAGTATAGCAGGCATATATATATATATACACACACATTTATATACACACACACAGATATATGTATATATATATATATATATATATATATATATATATATATATATATATATACATATATATACATATATATACATATATATATATATATATATATATATATACATATATATATATATATATATATATATATATATACATATATATACACATATATATATATATATACATATATATATATATATATATATATATATATATATATATATATATATATATATATATATATATATATATATATATATATATATACATATACACACACACACCACATGTATATACACACACACACCACACATACATATAGATATACACACACAGACAAAAGACCTATTTATTTTTCAAGTGTGAAAATCATAAAATACCTATTATTACCACAAGCTAAAACAGATCCTTCTTCTGAAACTATAAAAGAATAATTTCTTCCACAAAATATAGACTTAGGATGAAAATTTGATGGTAATGGCACTAAGGTGGGGTTACATCTCTCTTGTAGATCATTTAGTCCAAGATTACCTAGACATAAAGTTTTACAAATTAGTCTTAAACTTAGAAAATTTTAGTATTAAATTATGTATTGCAATATGTATTGTGAAATATAGGTAAGATAGTACAAGGTAAGCAAAGAAAAAATTAAACAAAACATTTATTCATTTTAAAAGTAGAATACAAAAGATTTTCATAAAAACACACCTGAATTTCCATTACCCCAAACATAAACTTGGTTATCAGCTATACATAAAATAAATACATTTAAATTTAAATATAAACACAACAGTAGAAAAAACAATATTAACAAAGTAATAATTTAAAAAAATAGTAGATATATAAAAAAATAATAATAAATACTTGTAAGTGCTAAAACATGAGCAGCACCACAAGCTACTTTAGTTACTGTACAACCAACTAAATCTTCAACAACTCTTGCTGTTGACAAATCGTCTGTTGTTCCATGTCCTAGACAGCCATGTGCTCCACTTCCCCATGTCATTAACATACCATGTACTAAAAAAAAAAAAACTTAGCATTGAAGCTATCCAAACTTATCAGATATTTTAAATATCTAAAAAATAACTGAAAAATGCCCACATTTTGTCACATGAGATTTATAGGGTTCTATCTGCATTTTTTTATGTTGCAAGAACTTAACTTTTGATGCTTAATTATTTAATCGTTATCTTGCTCTACAATCTTCATCTTTCCTCTTCCAGTAACTTCCAACACTAATTAGTGGTTGCTTGCAGCCTTGTTGGAAGCAAAGATGTAAGAAAAAAAAAAAAAATGTTTTTATTCTTTATAGTTATAAATTATAAGTCATTTATGTTATTACGATTTCATTATTAAACATTATTAATTATTAATTAAAACTTTAATTAATAATTAATAATGTTATAATATACATAAAATACGGATAGAACTCTATAAAACCCAAAAGTCTCATGCAACAATTTGTCAACATAACTAAAAAACTTTTTTCCATATTTTGAAAATGTTCTAAAATAAATTTAGAAAAAAAATGAAAAACAAAAAAACATGTTACCAGTCATAGCAACAATGAAATGATCTCCACAACTTATATGCGCTACAGTAGAACCAGAAAACTCACTAGTTAACTTTGGAATTAATCTATCATTAGATTGGTCTGAATGTTCATTCTATACGCAAAAAAAATTAAAAATAAATTTAATTTAAAAAATTATTAAAAAAAGGATTAGTCAAAACTCTTGTAAGACCTTTAAAAACAATACTTTTGTGAGTAAATTTGGAATCCTAATGTCACTTTAAAATATAAAATACATTTAAGGTTATTTGATTTTCGAGATAACAATTAAACTGTAAACATGTTGGTAAGTATTTTCTTTTAACTGAATAATCATTTTCAGAAAAAATTTGAACATAAAAACATTTTGAAACATTAAGAAAAACATTAAGAAAAACATAAAATTAAGAAACATAAGAAACATTAAGAAAAACATAAAATGAAGATAAAATCGCCATAAAGAACAGACAAACTAACAAATGACCAAATGTAGACCAACTATTTTTGCTGACCCAAAACCAATTCACCTTATGATTCCAAAAAAAATTTATCCAATAATTCCTAAAACAATTTAATCCAATGATTCTAAAAACAATTTACCCCATGATTCCAAAAACAATTTACTTAATGATACTAAAAATAATTTACCCAATGATTCGAAAAACAATTTAACCAATGATACTAAAAGAATTCACTCAATGATCTTAAAGAAAATAAATTTCAAGACTAATTTATAAAACTTTTAAAAACTTTTAAAAGTTATTTTCGTCTATAGAACTACTAAGTTATGCTCATCTATAGAACTACTGTAGTATGTAACCATGTTAGCAGTAATTGGCACAAAATATTTTGAAAAATATATTAAGAAAGTTATATAAAACAACTGAAAAATAAAAGATGCTTAAGATTTGTATAAATTCTTAAAAAATTTAAAAAATATAATTTATTTTATTCAATATCAACGCTCGGAATTAGGAAAAATGAAGTTGGCAATAATTTGCCAACCTCAATCTTTTAGAGGTCGGCAGCAGGTCAGCAAAAAAAAATTTGATACAAAGGTCTTACCATAAAAGATAGAAACGAAGTTGGCAATTTTTTGCCAACCTCAAACACTTTTAGGTTGGCAGTTAGGTCGGCATTGCCGAATGCCGACCCTAATTCCGAGGGTTGCAATATTGTAAAAAATTGATGTAAAAAATTAAAATTTTAATACTTTTTACAAAAAGTAATTATGGGCGTTCAATGTTGTACAAAAAGTTTAATATAAATTTCAAATCCTAGAAAATAAAAAACTAAATGTATCATTCAAAAGTTTAAGGTTTGTAGTTAAAAACATGTAACATGTAGAACTAGTTTTCGAAAAATTTTAGGATTTGATGCTTAAACTTTATACAAAATTTTTTAGACTTCAAATTTAAATTATTTTTCTAGTAAATCATTTTGAAACCTTTTTTTTTTAAACTTTTTAAAATTTCTATGTATTTGTCTAACGCAAAATATAGATGGGGCTCTTGATTTTCAAATTAAAAATTTATTATAATAATTAAATAGTCTTTCATTGAGAAATTTCTATTCGGTCTTCTTTAAGTTTGCCACGCTGTGACATGTCACGCCGTGACACTAATAGTAACATTTTTCATTCTAGCGTAAGAATATTTATTTATTTTAAATAAATATTTATAAATTACTTGTAAATAAAATAGGGCAATAAATATCATTAGATATTTAGATTTAAATATTTTTAACGAAAACGAAATTCTAATGTTAAATTAGCACGTTTAAAGGACAATTTAAGAAAAAAAAAGAGCAGAGTTTCTTCATTTAAAATAACATCTAACATCCCTCCTGCTTACAAATCATCTTGTACATTTCGTAAAGCTGTTAAAAAAGCAATACGTGCTCTTCCAACTTCTCCTCTTAAAAAAGCAACTGTTGTTAAACAACTTGCAATTCAGTTTAACAAAGATTTACCAGATATGCAACCAATGGACCTAATGCTCTTAATGATAAAACGAAGTTATGCATCATTAGTTTTTTTAAACAAAATGGTATATCCCGTCAGGCACCTAGAGATACAATTATTTTAAAAAGTAATAAAGAAAAAAAGAAAATGCAAAAAAGGTATTTAACAATAAATATAAGTGAAGCATATCAAATATTTAAAAACGAACACACTGATTTTTCAATCAGTAAATCCAAGTTTGCTAGTTTGAGACCAGGTCATATACTTTTATAAAGCTTAATGCCTAGAAATGTCTGTTCATGTGAAAAACATGAAAACATTATCTTGTCACTCAAAGCATTACATTTTATCAATTTAAAAATTCCCCTTTATTCGCATGCTTTACCAAATACTTTAGTGTGTGACGAGAAAAATGATAATTGTTGGAATAATCTTTGTGAATCTTGTAAGAAAGGAAAGTTATTTCTCAAAACATACCAGTTAGATGAAAAAAACACGATAAAAAAATTACCTGGTACCTTTGGGAAAAAGTTACACAACTTAATGGAACTAAGTACCTCGAAAAAGCAATAAAAAAAGACAAAACCATAATTTTGTATATCAATCTTTGCAAAATGCTACACAAATTTCTTTTGCATTATTTTATAAAAGAAAAACAATCAATGAGTTATGAAAACCAAAAAAAAGTTTTAAAAAGCAATCTTGATTCAGTTTTGTTACAAGTTGACTTTGCAGAAAACTTCTGAACTTTCTGGCAGGATGAAGTTCAGTCAGCACATTGGAACAAAAAATCAGTAACATTATTTACTGCTGTTAGCTGGCATGGTGACTCTTGTAAATCTGCCATTATTATTTCTGATGATTTGAATAAAAAAATTCAGTTATTTATTTTATCGACTTGTTAATAACTAACCTTATTAGAAAGGATGTAAAATACTTGCAAGTTTGATCTGATGGTCCTAGCAGTCAATTTAAAAATTGTTACATAGTAGCTTCAATTCCATGGCTAGAAAGCAAGCACAAAATTAAAATTTGCTGGAATTACTTTGCAACCTCTCACGGTAAAGGACCATGTGATGGTATAGGAGCAACCATTAAAAGATTAGCAACACAAAAAATTGTTCGAAGAGAAGCTCTGATTAATGACGCAAAAGTATTTTATAAAGTCGTCAGAGATGAAAGTCAAGTAAACATTTTTATGGTTGCTGCAGAAAAAATTAAAACTGCTTTTGATGGTATAGAATTTGGAAACATCATTAATAATGCTTGTAAAATGCCTGGAATATTTAGTACCCATTGCTTAAAACAGCTTAATGATAAAATGGAAATGAAACCTTATTCAAGTGTATCATACTTAGTTAACTAGATAAAATTTAATAGAATAATGTATTTAAATTTTAAGACTTTTTTTGAAATTAATGTAAATAAACTATTTTGTTAAACGTTATTGTTATACCAATCTTATAAAAATCCGAATAAATTGGTTTCTTTTGTTTCAACTGTCTTTTTGATGATGTTATTGTCTTAATATTCAAAGATTTTGTACTGGTCACACCGTGACGTCACGGTGTGACATAAACTCCGTTGATATATTTATGTGGTGTCTCCATTTAAATTTATAAAACATTTTAAAAATGTTACGAAACTATTATAACACCTTTTAAGTATCCAAAACAACAAAAAAATATTTCAAAATATCCACAAGAGCTGAACTACTGTCATTTCTTCTAATGACAGAAAATTCTAGATAATTTTTGTCACGCCGTGATGCAACCTTTTAATGCGTATTCCTAAAAGTCTATAAAATATTAAAACTAAATAATTTTGTTTTTAGAAACTGTAATGAATATGAAAATTTTTTAGTACCTTTAATTTTTAAATTTTTAATTTTAAATGCGCTAAAATCTGATGTTTTTCCCCCAAAAAAAAGTCAAATGTCACACCGTGACAACGTGGAATAACCGTTATGCTTTTTTCAAGCATAAAAAAAATAAATTAAAAAATACTTTTAATTAAATGCTAATTTCAATTAAGTAGGTTTAACATTTTACAATAAATAATTTTAAATTTTAAATAAGTTTTTATTGTTACTGTTACACTATTGTTATTTGAATATTGTGAATATTGCTAAATTTAAAATCATCTGAATATTTCATTTATCTATTTGCTATATATATTTTTTCAAGCTACACTGATATAATGATGTTAATGATACTACCAAAATATGGAAAAGAGCTAATTTAGCTGTAGTAAGTTGTACTAATATATATGTATGTATATATATATATATATATATATATATATATATATATATATATATATATATATATATATATATATATATATATATATATATATATATATATATATATATATGTATATATATATATATATATATATATATATATATATATATATATATATATATATATATATATATATATATATATAGACTAAAATAAAGTTAAAAAATTCAAAAAAAAAGCTTTACTTCACTTCTAAAACTCAATGGTTTGATGAATCTTTTAATATTTTGAGGTGAAAATACAGTGTTCCTACACTTTTATGAACATTTATTATAAGAATGTTATTTTTGGTTAAAACTTTTTGAAACATAATGAAGTAAAAAGAAAAAATTTTGTAATAACACAAATATTAGTCACAAAAATGGAGCTCATATTACATTAAAAAGATTTTAAAAAGAAGCCTGATATTCATACTCTTTTTTTCTCATGTTATAAAATTCTTAAATAGAAAGTAAGGTATTAGAAAAGTATTAGAAAGTAGTAGAAAAGGTAGTATTGAAATATTTTCATTGCAAAAAAAAACAAAACAAAACAAAAAAGAGCTTTTATGCATATACCTAAAAATTTGAAAAATTGTTTATTATATAAAAAAGAAGCTAACTGTCCATCGATATGGACCCCCACTGCCAATGCCTATTTAAGATTTTTGCTTTTTGGTAAACAAAATATTTGAAAACTTAAAAAAAGAAACTTTTTAAAATTGCTTGATTAACATCATGAAATCACTTTCATTCATGTTCAATCCTAATAAGACTGAGATGAATGAATGATGAACACTTAAATAAACTTTTATTATTACCTTTTTTTATATTTTATTATAAACTTTCATGAACTTTGTAAACTTAA